ATGCTTTGATTGAGATTAACGCCATGAAAGACAATATCAAAGAGGAACCATGTTATTGATACGGCAATTAAAGTACGCGTGTGCTTCCATTGGGAGAAGTATTCTCGAAAATCCCGGAACTGGTCGCGAAGACCGCATTTGTCTTTGGCTGTCAAACTCGTCTCCTTAGCTAGGAACTTCTCAAAAGGTTTGGTCTCACGAATGCGCAGGCGAGCATAGAGAGTCAATGCGCATGGCACAAGTCCAATTCCAAGCAAGAGTCGCCAGACTTTGGAGACGGCAAATATTGCTCTCCATGGATGACTTAAAACCGACAAGGTGGTCTAGGTACACTGCTCCGAGTTAGAATTGTGTATTACCGATTACTCTGACGAAAAAGATAGCAGGTACGAAGTCTTTGTAGACTACTGTTGTTATTGATAGGTTTATAGCTCTGTAAGCATCGAACAACCGCTCCGTGCCAAGCATGTCGTGCAAGACTAAAACAACGGTCACTTTGAGCCTTGGAATCCGGCATCCATAACAGCCCAATTGCCCTTCTCCCAAGCCGGAATGACCTCCATACTACTTATTCTCCAAGGATTCTGGCCTTTTTCTTCCAATTCGGGAAGTCTGGTGACTTCTAGAACTGCCCTTCCCTAGAAAGTATCAGCAACCCAGATCATTATTGTCGTAAGCGTTATCTTACGCCATTCTGCATCAGTGCACCACCTCGAGCCTTTGCATTCACCATGCTAGCTCCTGCCTCAGAAAAGACAGTGGCTGTGTCAGGTCGAGAACCCTGATTGGGCTGGGGCAGATTCACGATAAGATTGCTATATGCAGATGAGTAAAGTTCGTATGCTAATTGCCCTTGATGTTTGTTCACCCATAGATGTGCTGAGTCGCGTCGAAGCCTCGTAGAATTGCTTGGACTTTCCCTGCCCACTCTGGGCCTGCTATTTTGAAGACTTCACCGCCCATGATCCTGGTGTAGTCTATTTGCACTTCTGGTGCGAAGACCTCGTTCGCAAGACCTTCTTCAGACGCCGTATCATAAAACCATGGCTTAGATATAATTAGACGTCAATGAGACACCATGCTAAGAAACGCGAACACGTACTAACTTCATCACAGTATCCTGGATATTGGCCCTGTCCAGCAGGTAATCAGTCACTGCGTAAGAACTCATATTGCTACTTGTGATTGCGCTGCCGCCGTGCCTCTAGGACAGAAGCGTCATTGAATATCTTTATAACATGCTCTTGATAATTAAAACTACCCTTGACCTTTGTCGATACTACATGAATACCTCGGAAACCAAAGGAGTTAAGACAGGGTGGATTACCTAATGGAAACGCTGGGCATCTAATCCCGTAAACCCCGGGGGTGGACGGCCCGCGCGGAGGCCCGCGAGCCGTTGGCAGACCATTCAGAGACGCTGTAGAATGAGCCCCGCCAGGTAATGGGGCCGCTTTTAGGCACTCGAGCACCGGCGATACTGGAAATTCACGGCATCTTGATGCGGACTCGGATGGAACTCGTGGCCAGCCCATTTTCACATAATTGTTACTCCGCATTGGGTAAAATCTCATATCGGACACGGTCTCCGTAAGGTACACCGACTTTGCAACCTTAAAGGTAGTGACACCGTCATTCGAGCAGACTTCAAGAAGTAAGACCTTCAGCACCTGCACACGGCGAATTTCAAGCCTCACGCAGCATAGACAAGCTTCGAGAGAAGTGGAATGTCCTCTAAAGTTACCGGACCTATTCTCATCACCGGCGGCACAGGCCAGCTCGGTAGCCGGATTGCGGCGCTGATGCGCTCGGAGTCTGTGCCGCACCTGGTGGCCGCACGATCCGCTACAGGGCCCGAGGGCGTAAAATTTGATTATACCGATCGTGAGACCTGGAACAATCCGTTTGAAAAGGCGGCGCCGTCTACTATTCCGGCGGTGTTTCTGCTTGCCCTGCCGACAACTGTCTCTGTAGAACTCATGAATGAGTTTGTTGACTTTGCCATAGAGAAAGGCGTCAAGCGTTTTGTATTACTCAGTGCGTCAATAGTCGAGATGGGCGGACCGGTCTATGGCAAGGTGCACACGTATTTAAAAGAGCTTGGAGACGGAGGTTTGGTCGAGTGGGCTGTTCTGCGGCCGACTTGGTTCATGAGTAGGGTTTCTTTGGATGTTGACCAGGTTGGGCGATTGGGCGCTAAAAGTGTTGCTAGACAATTTCGCAGAACAGCCGCATCACGTAAAGGCTATCAAGGACGAAGGCAAGATATATTCGGCAACCGGGGACGGTAGGATCCCTTGGGTTTCAGCGGACGATATTGCAGCTTGTGCGGTCCAGACCTTGACAATCCCGCAACCGCCCAACACGGACTACTTCATTCTTGGACCCGAGCTCCTGACGTACAGCGATGTAAGTGCTTTGAATACCGTCCTAGTACAATACGTATTCCTCTACTGCCGCACGATGAGGAGTGTAACAGATAAGGAATGATTGCTGACTGTACTCCGCAAGATTGCCGGCATCCTCACAGAGGTCCTGGGAAAAGCGATCGTGCACCAAAACCTCATATCAGCCGAGCTGGAAGAAATGCATATATCGAATGGAATACCGGAAGACTATGCAAAGGTACTAGCGGCATTGGACATCGCCATCAAGAACGGCGCTGAGGATCGTACGGGCGACGTTGTGCTGGCTCTTACGGGTAAGGAGCCTCGGCGGTTCAGGAGCTTTGCAGAAGCTTCGAAAGCTGTATGGGAATAAAGCCTTTAGAAGTTCAAATGAGCTGGAAGAACGGGAACATGTCATCAACAAACTACATGGGGCCTGTATTTCTTTGGTATATGCGGATTCTGTCATATCCAGCTCTGATCTTGACGATGATCGGGTTGGGGGTTTTGAACTCCGCCGGAAACACAGGACATCTACGTAAGAAACGATAGCTAAAACGAGAAATCAACTGCGTCAAATAAACCTACAATTGAAACAATACCCATATGACCACAGTGATAGAAGCCAAGGGAAAATACACAAATCATGAAGAGCGTGTTATGAAAATGGCCCTCCGTCAGGCACCTAGAAATACGCAGCATGGACATGACACTACGGTTGGTTAAGAGCCCGACGGAGTCCGTGCTGATCCTGATAAAACGAAGAGGCTTCAGATGGTCTAGTCCACCGTCACGGATGATGGACCTATTTCTCTAAAGGGGTTAAATCTACATTTGCACCAGGAAGAGACAAGGTCTGTTCAGAGATATGTGCGGAGTATGTTCCATTGACTAAAATGGGCAGTGAAACCGTAGGAATGGCTCTCTCCATCCTTCGCGCGACTCGTCAATAGGGTGTCGAGCATTCGAACATGGCGTAGACACCACATAGAATGCGCCTCTCGTGACAGAATTATTGTCGGTCCATGAGAAGTGTGTTCAAGACAAAGCAGCCTCATGGAGAATATGTTGCCCTGTCCGATGATGAACTCATAGCACAAAGAGCTGAGTGCGCTTGATGAATCATGGCAAAACTGTCAGTGTCAGTGAGCGAGCGAGTCACAATACTGAACAGTGGGCCAACATTGCGCCGACTCGGTAGACTCGGTAGTGCGCTTTGCGTGTCGTAGCGCCGAACGGGCGTAGTCAGCACCGACATTTCGGTTTTGTCGGGACCAGGTCACTCGCCAGCCAGCCTCAGCCAGGCCTTACTGTGTAACATAACTCATGTAAACATCATGTAAGTCGTCAATGAACATCCTTGAGATGAGGCTTGTCATCAATAGCCCAATTGCGGCAGACAATCAGAGCTAGTTCTATTTCCTGACGCAACAGAATTACAGGCCAAGTGATTATTGTTACCACCAACCTCTGCTTGGGATCAGGTCTGGACTGTGTCGTCGATGTCCTCATCAAAATAACTCTGCTCGCTGTATCGTGTTCATTGCCCGATTGGGATTTTAAGAAATACGAGTGGGGTGGGCGGCGAGCTGGATGAATCATGATGACAGGTAAGGCAGGGAGCCTCTTAAGGTCCCTGTTGACGAGAGACGCCGATACGATACGGTGTGCGTGCAGCGGCGGCAGCGGGAGCTTCACTGTTGTCGCTGAAAGCTGATCCTGCCGGCACCGATTTCTCCTTCTGGAGAATGTCCGCGCACACTGGGCCAACGGAATAATCTTGCTGCGGCACGGTACCGTAAGGGATGACCACCACACATGAGGTCTGGCTGAAGGATGCTCAACATTAGGCTTCACTGTTAGGCTAACGGCGAGCAAAACTCACAAGGTCATCCACACATTGGCACGAGAACAAGCGACAAAGACGCGATACATCTACACTAGGCTGGGAATGGTCAAAGGCGTCAGCCAGCCAGCCCTACGACACCAGCGGAAGCGAGTGCGATGCAATGGGCTTCTGACGTTTTTAGCTTGTTTATGCTTGACGGTCTTGCCGGCGCGATTCAGTTGGGGGCGCTATGTGCTCGTAGGTGCTCCCAGTCGGAGAGATATTTTGCCCGTGGGATCCCGCTCCCCATTCGTCATTCCATTGGCGAAACCCAGACTGCATTCTCTTTCGGGTAACGAATTGGCACTTAGCTCCCTGATCCCCTGCGCTGCGGCGGCCAGTGTCAAAGTGTTCATCCACTCCGGCTCCGATGGCCGTTAGTGCCTTTGGAGTCGTGGAGGTCCGATGCCTCAAAAGTTTACTGGGAGAAGGTCAAACTGGATGTCTGACACTCCGTCCTGCTTGTGTAAGCCGCCGTATGCACCTTGCGTATGCGTATGCCCTTCCTTGGTAGGAAAAAGTGGGCGAGGCTCGCAGTTGCAACGTTCATGGACACATCCGGCGGGCCTTTACCTTGGATTATATCTATCTCCTTGAGCCCCCCTACGATATCAAGGCTTAGCTATGCCCTGAATCGACAAGACCTCCCGTTCGACCTCGTCCCTTCTTTCTCTCTTCACATCAACCTGTGAAAGAAAGCTTTTCCAACATTACCTGCCATCATCATGTCAGGCGTGCTAGACCCCAAGGACCGGGGCAATGAGTCGGACACTGGTGTGTCGACTTCTCAGGAGGAGGGAGTTGGTGTCGGTATCACAGATGCCGGCAAGGTCGAGATCGTCAACGACAAGCCGGTATTCAAACCCACGAGAGAGTTCTTCCTAGCCTTCATTGCTCTCTGCACAGTTGCTCTCGCCATTGCCTTCGATGCCACTTCGCTCTCCGTCGCGCTACCCACCATTAGCTCTGCGATTGGTGGCACAGCACTCCAAGCCTTCTGGTCGGGTACCAGTTTCCTTCTCGCAAGTACAGTGCTACAGCCCACAGTGGCATCTCTGAGTAACATTTTCGGTCGCAAATACGTGAGTTCTTGTCTTGAAAACGATGCATGCAATTGTCAGCCAGCACGCTAAATAGAACTTCGAAATCTAGTTGATCTATGTCACCTCTGCGCTTTTTGCTGCTGGCTCGCTCGTTGCGGCTCTCGCTAACAACTTTACGGTAATCTTGGTGGGCCGAACTATCCAGGGTGTTGGCGGCGGTGGTCTGCTTGCGCTCACAGAAGTTGTTGTCACCGATCTTGTTCCACTCGCATTCCGAGGCCAATGGTTCAGTTTGTTGAGCGCCATGTGGTCTATTGGGACTGTGACCGGGCCCCTGATCGGAGCTGGTTTTGCGGAGAATATCTCGTGGAGATGGTACATGCTCCTCCTAGATTTGTCGATGGATTAAGATTGCTGACATAGACCGAAGGATCTTCTACATCAACTTGCCTGTCATCGGTCTTGGCATCATCTTTGTCATTCTATTCCTCCACCAGGCCAAGATCCCTGGCCATATTCTCGAGAAGCTCGGCCGCTTTGACTGGTTTGGGTCGTTCCTCTTCACTGCCAGCTCGACTGCGTTCTTATTCGGACTAACAACGGGTGGTGTCATGTACGAATGGGACTCTTGGAGAGTGCTCCTCCCTTTGCTGATTGGTGTTGCTGGCATTGTGGTCTTTGGATGGTACGAAGTCAGGATCGCAACTGAGCCCATCATCTCCAGGGGTATCTTCACGAACTGGGACATGATCATCACGTACGTGATGACAGTCTTCCACGGCATGATTCTCTGGTCGTTGCTGTACTTCCTCAGTAAGTTCTCCAGCTCGTTTGTATCTCATGGGAATTCTTTAAGTTCTGACATCAATCCTACAGCCCTGTACTACCAAGGCGTCAAGTTCTATTCGCCAATCACTTCATCTGTCGCTGTTCTCCCCGAGACGCTCACCGTCGCACCAGCTGGTATGGCTGTTGGCATCATCGCCGGGATCACAGGCCACTATCGGTGGTCGCTCTGGATCGGTTGGGTGCTTACAACTCTTGGAGGCGGCCTTCTCCTGCTGCTCAAGCCTGACACCAGCGTCGCTGCATGGATCTGGCTCAACGTTCCGATTGGTATGGGTACAGGCATGCTTTTCCCTGCCATGGCTTTGTCGATCCAGGCTGCCTGCGAGCCAGCCCTGAACGGACAAGCCGCGGCATTCTACAGCTTCCTGCGAACGTTCGGACAATCGGTCGGCGTGGCCATCTCGGGCGTCATCTTCCAGAACGTGTTCAAGCGCAAGCTGCAGGACCTCCCCGCCTTCGCCGGGCTGGCGGACCAATACAGCCAGGAGGCAACGCTCGTCGTCGAGATCATCAAGCAGATGCCCAAGGGTGCCGATAAGGACGACCTGGTGACAGCATACAACGAGAGCCTGCGGACCATCTGGATCAGCCTGCTCGCCTTTGCCGCCTTCGGGCTGCTGCTGAGCGTGCTCATCAAGGGGTACAGTCTCAACCAGGAGCACGTCACGAACCAGGGGCTGGTGCAGCAGGATCGCAGCAAGAACCCGACGGCTGAGGCTGCGGCTGAGGCCGAGAAGAACAAGGATAAGGACGTCGAGGCCGGTACTGCCTAAGTTTATTCGGATTGGCGTTGCATGATAGAGGCTGGGAAGGCGGTTTGACGATACACATCTATCATAGCGAGCAGAGGGACCTAATGATCGACATGCACCTTGGCGTTTTGGTGTTTACATATAGACTGGAGATTGGAATCTCGTCTGGCAAGGGACGAATTGGATCGGGCATGTCTCAACTCCATGAGGATGAAAATATATATAATTCATTAATGAGAAGAGTAATTTCGCTCTCTAATCACTCGAGTTCCACCTTTGGGGGAATTATGCTCTTATCTTGGCCAGAATCCTCTCCATTGAGGTAGCCGTCGCAACCGAAACGATCGTAACGTTGCGGATGTAGGTGCCTCTGCTTGTAAAAGAAGTACACAATGCGCCACATAAGTACACCGAGTTCCACCGTTGTCGACTTCAGAATGTGAAGTCTTGGAAGGTGTGAAAGACAATTTTTCACAAGATGCTTCGCCTGAGAGGCTCTTCAGCTTTCCATCACGAAAGCCATCATCGTTTTCTGCTTCTACTAGGCCAATCCTAACCCCTATGACATGACCAAAGCCTTGGCATCTCGCCCTTTCCTATCGGCCAAAATTGTACACGGCGGCAAAGAGCACGATGGCACTACTCACCTCTACGTTCCATCCTCTCCCGGAGAAAACTCTTCACGTACCACATGGTGGAGCGCCGCACGACAAGAACCGGAACGCTTCTGCCCAGGGTGCTTTCCCCAGACTATTCGAGAGCATGGGACGCGTAATCGCCATATCGAGGCCGCTGGCTCCCCGGAAACGCTTGGAATCAGGCAAAATCCGCCCGCAGCAATCAGCACGCAATGCACTCCAGGTTTTCGGTTAAATTGGTGAGATGGTCATGGAAGATCCTGTGGCTGACCTGTGCCTTGAAACACGCACAGAGAGAGACAGAGCGCCGGCACTTCCATCCTCGGCAATTGGATGGGTTACTCTCGGGGGATTTCGAAGAGCAGGAGGTGTGTTCTTGGAACCCTTTTGAAGAGTCGAAATCCAGGCATCACGTGGATGGAGAGAGGACAGGCGCGCCAAGAGTCTCGGGCGCTAGCTAGCTAGCTGGTTCTGGTTCGGGTTCGGGGCGTGTTCTGGAACGGGCCAACCGCCGTGGGTGGGATTGGGCCAGGCACAGCGATCTAGTACCTGAAAACCGTGACGTCAGAGAGATCTGCTCCGCCTTGGTCTGGCACCTTGTTGTCAACCAAGAAACGCTGGGCATCTCTTGGGACCTTCTGGGCGTGATCTCACGATAGTGATTGTTTGATTTGGTCAAGAGCTTGGATCCGGGCTCCTGGGACTTAGCTGCTTCTTGTTTCTTATATTAAATTTCTGGTTCTGTACAGACCACAGTGCCACAGTGCTGCCCCATCGAGAGTGAAAAGCCACAATCTGCAAGTATATCGCAACCTACCCGCCGCCCTGCCTTTTTGCGCTCCGCCGCTTCGGTACGGTAACGTTACTGCCACATGAACATCTCGCGATGAGCACCGAGGAGGAGCGGAAAGGGCGTGAAAACAAGCCTGAGCCGCCTCCAGAGCTACCGAAGACCTGGCGTGAGTCGTTCCTCCATTCCCTCCCGTATTACTCGGGCCCGCACCGCGTCGGATATCTGGAGATCGAGCTACCCGTCCGCGAAGCGAGGACATTTTCCAACATCAAGAGGAATCATGAGCATGCGCTGCGCCTGGACACGGTGCTCTTCTCGGTCTACTATCCGTGTTCTTACGATCCCGACTTCAATCCCAAGGCGAACGCCCGCGTGCCATGGCTGCCACGGCCGCGAATTTCCACTTGTAAAGGCTATGCCAAGTTCTTCAGCGTCCCGCATTTTCCGGTGACGGTGTACATCGCGGCGACGTCCATGTTCACCAAGATACCTGCATTTCGCAACGCAACATTGGCAAACGGGTGGTCGTCCGACACACGCGACTCCGTCTCCTCCCGGGAAGCAGGGCAAGCAGAAGAGAGCAGTCGCCAGCTACCATTTCCTGTGGTGTTCATAAGCCATGGCCTAGGAGGATCACGCACAAGTTGCAGCTCGATATGTGGCGAACTATCCAGCTACGGCTACGTGGTAGTTGCTCTGGAGCATCGCGATGGAAGCGGCGCCCGGACATATGTCAATGTTCCGCCAACCAGAGACTCACCCTATCTAAGTAGGAGGCAGAGTTTAGCAGACATGAATGGCGCAAGTAAAGAGGAGAAGGAACGAAAACGCCACTACACGGTGGATTATGTCTTTCCAAAGGACAATCCGCTAGATACATCTCCACATAATGATCAGGGTATCGATCGGGAGTTGCGAGCAGCTCAAATTGCCATGCGCTTGGCCGAGATTGAAGAAGCGTACCATGCTCTCCAGACGATCAATGATGGGAATGGGGAAGACGTAGCTCAGGCAAATCTGAGGAAGGAGGGAAACCAAGGCTCAAGCTCCAGGGGCTTAGAGGGCATCAACTGGGATGATTGGAAGGGCAGGTTGCATCTCGAGACCGTGACTATGATGGGTCATTCATTCGGGGGTGCTACCACAGTGCAGATCTTGCGCCTCAATGATAGGTTTCCGTGGATAGGCCAAGGTGTGCTTCTTGACCCTTGGGGCCCTGGCGCCCCTGAGGTCTCCAAAGGTTCAGAAGAGCGCATTAGAAAACCTCTGCTTTCTATAGGGTCAGAAGCTTTCATGCACTGGGCACAAAATTACCAAAGAGTGCAGGAGTTCTGCCTGGAGGCTCGACAAGAAGGTACCCTGTGCTGGATGATGACAATCCGAGGGTCGACTCACCTTTCGCAAACAGATTTTGCGCTGCTTTATCCAAAGTGGATGTCGCTCTTTTTCAAGACGATTATCAACCCGCGGCGGGCGGTGTACATCACGCTTGACGCAATCCTGGAGTTTTTTAAGATCATACTGCCTCCGGAGCTGACCCGGTTTGAGGAGCAGTGGGTAAAAGAGGATCTCCTAATGAGCACTGAGCCCCAGGTGGATGTACCCGTGGAACACAAGCCCGACGACAAATGGATCGCGGCCCGGCTGAAGATTGACAATGAGCTCAAGCTACGGTACCATTACTGGCTCCGACGGTTGGAGAGGAAGAGAGATGATGTGCCGAGAGATGCGTCAGGGAGGCCACTCTTGGGCTTGAAGAATTGGGGCGAGGGAAATGAGGTATGGATGCATTTGAGCCCGGATCAAGAGGAAATAGAGAGATATCTTGACCATTCTGGAGACGAGTCCTTGGGGCCTGAGACACCAGCCCACCGTGGAATCCACAAGATTCACAGGATTCATTGCCCCACGATGTGAGGAGGAAGCAGCCAAGTGGCCAGGGAAGGCTCACCCGTCATTGAGAATGGCGTTTGTTGAATTTTTTGCATGTCATGCATAGGCGAGCTGCAACGGGATGGCACCCTAGATGTATACAATATTGAGAAACAGCATGGTAGAAAGAGGCCAGACAGGAATAGCAAAGCGAAATCAGGTTCATATCGGTCGGGCATTTTGAGCAGCAGGCCGCGTACCTGTAGTAGCATCGAAAACGGGTTGGAGAGACGTTGAGGTATTGTGAATGATACGCGATTTATTCGCCAGATGATGAAAGTGACAAGAATCAAAGCCGGGTCTGGATCAGTGCGATGCCTGACTTAATTGCAGGTACCAGCTGGTGAGCAGGTCCGACGCGGTATTGACATTGCGATGACGAGGTATCTTGCAATAACCGCCCGGGTTCCCCACACGGGAAGTTTTGGCAGAAAGACCAGGGGCAAGTCAATCAAGATGCTGTTGCTATTTCTGCCGAGCGGGTGAAGTTGGCACTGGCGACAGCTGACGAGACTTCCAGATGCATCGGAAGAACAACTCAGCTCCACTGTATCGTCTTGATCGTTAGATGCCAGAAAAAATCCTGGATCTCAATACCTTGAAGGTAGCGTCCGTGGAGCTACATGAACAGCCGAGAAATATCAGATCGGCTTTCCGGCATCCTTCGAACATCGGCTTGTGGTACACTCTTCATGACAAACCCTGGGTGATCATTTCAGACGGCTCGTCTTTTGCTAAGAATACCAGAAATCAAGAGCGACGGCTTGCTGACTGGGGCACACTGATTCTTGGTCTTTCATTCAAGTAGGAGTACACGCTGGCTGGAGCAAAGCCTAGGCTGCGCAGGCTCTAGAAAGATGGAATTCTCGATTGCCAGGAGATGTCACCGAAATTGAGGCTAGGGACTTACTCATCTGGTCGCGATCGGAACTTTCCTCGGGTCATGATAGGTAGGGTTGTATTCTGCAGACTCTGAGATGCATCCAGAGCCATCCTGGGGAAATTCAAAGCGCCTCTCGGAGCCGCCACCAGCGGACGTCTCTTCTGACTGCCATGTGGAATTGAAAAAGGTGGCCATGCGCTGTAACCCTGCGAGCGGACAGTCCAGATGGTGATGAGCCGAACAAAGAGGGGCGGAGGAGGAGCTGGCAGGCTGGATCAGGCCATGGTCGATCACTGTTTCTTTGCAGGCCGCCGTCCGATGAAGTCCGGCTTCTCCATGTGTCGATGTCAGACAATCGGCAATCGGCACATGGACCGTGTACCTCATTGATTTTAGGCCAGACTAGGTAATCAACAATTTCTGAAGGGTTGCCTCTGGCGCAAGAAGTGCAATGGGAATCCATTTGGCATCGATCTTGGTTTTTACTACTGGGATAAGGAGGGAATCATCGCCAATATGCTGGGAATGTCGGTGCATCACCCAGTCTTTGTTAACATTAGCGCAGCTTCTTGGTGTCTGGTCTGGGGCTCTGGAGGGCTGCCGTTCCCCACACCGCACTAATTGCCCGCCATGCAACCCCAGACTTGCGCCGCCAGTGCATTTGGCCTTCCCCGATAGACACGGCTTTAGCGGACCTCTTCGTACCGTTTTATCTTTTTGTCCTTGTTTATCGATCACTTGTCGATGTCCGTCCTTACCTACGTATGTCAAGTTA